CTCTTCCCCTCCCCCCCTCCGTCCCTTTCCCTCTCCAGAAATTAAAATAAATAAATAAATAATAAATTTTACACTTTGCTTGTGTAAACTTTCAACAAACAGACTGATGATGTCTCAGCTGAACAGTCTGTTGCCATGGACATCATGAGAAACAAACTTTGGCCCCCCAACAGCAAATGGGAAAACTGGATTTACCAGAACATGTCGTCATACAAGTCAGCTTTAGTTCAGGGTCCAACTAGACTGCTCGTTTGTTTAAAGTCTTCAAGCTTTTTCATTAGACTGCTAATTTCATCTTTTATCTTTCTACTTTTGATTTTAGGACCAACCCTGACTGCATTTCAGGGTCCAGGTAGAATGTACRTTCAGTCAAAGTCTTCAATATGACTTGACAAATGTAATGTTACCATGTTGATTATTGTAGATATGATTCTTTCATATCGGTTTAAATGACATTATAGATTTCACAGCTTTACGAATTTCCTTAAGATCGCTTACAAAGTTTTTAACGGCTTTGTGTTTTCTTCTACAGTTCACTATAAAATTTGCAGGGATTAGAATGGTAGATCTAAATTTGTTCACAATTTTAACAAAGATTTTTTTCGGGTCAGCTAAGCGAGTATCGTCACTATAAATCACACCTGGTGATGGCGTTCCGTATGAACTTCTGTCAGAATTTAAACTGTTTTTATCATCAGTAAAGTTTTCAGTAACTTCAAGACCAATGGCAGTCATCGAGGGTCCAGGTTGGTTCATTATTTCTGAGTCTATTCTGTAAATCTTCCTTGTCTGAAACTAATCTTCTGTCCGAATGAAATGTTTTGTGTTCACAAATAATTTTTATCAAGACTTATGCAAATTATCTATGACGTTATCTATGACGTCAACAAATTGCTACACCCCCAACAGACGTGTCTCGCGAGCAAATTACGTGATGACGTCACCGAACGACTTCAGGACGGCTMGTGGCAACWGCGCGCATGCGCAGAACGTGTTCAGTTTGTTGTGCGGTGGCGCCGTGTTTGTCTCGCAGTCGAACCCGAACCAAACAGAGAGAACCAGAACATCAGGCTCCCATCGGATTATCAGCTTGCCACACAGCCGGCCAGCAGCAGAGACGGGCGGATACAAGTGAGTGAACCGTGTCGCTGCTGCTTATCCGGGACGACAAAGGACAAAAAACAAAGAAACCTCAGTTTACTCTCTCTGCTGTCACGTGTTGTTGAAACATTCCTGCAGCTTTATCTGCTCCTTCTACTGCTGTCATCCCATAGAAAGTCTGCTGCTTTGAGTCATTGCTTCATTTGGTTTTAAAGTCGTGCAACAGTTGTTGGGAAAAGGTGTGTGTGTGTGTGTGTTTGTGTGTGCAGCTGAATACAAACTTCGCCAGAAGAATAATATCCAGGTACAATGTGGAGGCGACTTATTAAAATCTCAAAAGGTGGGGAGCTATCTTGGTGTCAAACTTAACCACGCCTTATCTGGGACAGAGATAGCAGAAAATGTTTAAAAAAAACAAAAAAAACGCCAGGCTTAAGTTTATATAGATAAGGTAGAAATGCCAACCTAAAAACAACAACAACAAAAAAAAAAATGCTTGTGTCAGCATTAGTTCAGTGTCATTTTGATTATGCTTGCACATTTTGGTATTCCGGACTAAGTAAAATTTATAAACTTACAACAAACTCAAAACAAAGTGATAAGATATCTATTAAATGTAGGAACTCACACACATTGGAGCCCAACAGTTTAGTCAGGTTGGAATGACACCATGTGAGTTACAGGTCAAACAAAGTATAATCATCTTCAAAGCTTTGTAAACAATAAAGCTCCAAACTACTTATTTCAACAGTTTGAACCAGTAAGAAATCGCCATTCAATTGGAACGAGGTTTTGTAAAAAGTCATTTCAAGTTCCAGCTGTTAAAGGGATCCACGATTAGTTGTAACATTAAACTTTATTTGATAAACATATATTTTAACTGTAAAATAAAGAC